GATTTATATATTTAAAACCAGCAAAAGATGACTTCATTGGCTAATTTTGAAATGAGGATAAGAGGACAACTTAAAACTACATAATTACTTCTGACACTAAGGTGATTAGAAACTCATCAAGTCTTTAAGCTTGAGCTATTACATTGCCATCCTGAGCCAAAGATACCTGACTTTAAGCAAGTTCAGAGAAGGTAAGAGAGAGGGGGGACACCCTGACTTTCTTACACGTGTTGAATAACTAAATATCATATGATTGGTCCTACAGGCTGACTGGAAAAGTTCTAATTCATATAAAATGCATAAAACTCTGGAATTAAATCAGTTGACCTAACATTAGCATGTGATTTAGTAACTGATACCTTCAACCACTCATTTGTCACTGCTTGCATTCAAGTTAAGATTCATCTCTTCTGAACATTTATGAGGATTGTGTATGCACATTGGGTAATTGCATGAACAGACTGGAATAAAAGAGGCAACTGATCTGAATGAACAAAGCCATTCTGCTTTGCCCAGGACTACAGCTTTGACACTAGGTGCCTGTAAACAAGCAGCTCTTAAATGCAGCCAGGTGCCCAGTGTGATTGTCCAGCTCAATGTCTTTGACATTTCAAGCTCTAACTTAACAAATTTTTCATTTTGATAAGTTATGTGAGCTTACAACCTCTGTTTAATTTTGGATATGGTTCTTGTGAACCATATTTATTTTCTTCAATAATACAGAAGTCTGTTTCTTTAGGTAGAACTTCCTGTTTTACTTTATTTTTAGGAAGGAGAAAGGTGAAAGGAAGAAGGCAGGCAAAGCAAAAGGGAATTTTAGTTTTAATTTTCTATAGTGTGCCTATTAAAGCTTTTACCTCCTTAGATAGGTAGGAGATTAGATAGCCCTATGCTCCGTGACTATCACCTGTAATTTACTTCAGGACTGACAGGCAGTGACTCACTAATAGGTATAAAATTATACACTCCACATTTGAAAACAGGCATAAGGGAGTAGCAGAAGTTCTTCACTATAAAACATCTTGAGACAATTTAACAAAATCCTCTCTGGGCTCATACTCTACGATAATTAGAAACACCATAGTGCAGCAATATGGTGGCAGCACACTGCCAGCCACCAAACATCAGAAACTTTCATTGTTCCCGTCAAAGCTGATTAAAAAAAAAGACCTCTTTTTAGTTATTGTATTAGTTATTATAGTTGGAAAAGATTTAGCAAGCAGGAAAGAGATGTGAACTCACACTGTAGAAAGGGTGTTGAAATCCAGTTACCCTTCTACCTGGTGTTGTTCAACAGCCTGCTTTTCTCGAGTTAGGAGAAGGGGGTGGGCAGTCCAATTTACTAATTGTTTCAGGTTATTGAACCTGTAACAGATTCTGCTCCTTATCTGACTGTCATGGTGTCCTTTGTTTTAAAGGAAAGCATGAGCTGATTAAGCATGTATTTAGTGGGGCATCATCTCTTAGGTGTATTACTTCAGCAGCCTTGTTTCTCAAGAGCATGCATTCCTAAACAATATAAGGAAGATGGCAGGCTTAATCTCTGATGAACTTATGTCCCTGATAAAAAGAGATACGTGAAGAGGATACTATAGGCTGTTTATTCTCTTTTTTTTTTTTTTAATTCTTCCTGAAATAAAATGTTTTAAAACTTTTAGCTGAGGTGGAGCAATCTTGACTACATGAATCCCAGTACAGGAAGGAGGATGGACAAACTCTTACATGCTGCCATGGCAAGCAGGAGAAGCAAGAAATGTTTTGATGAAGTCTCTACAAAAACTAGTGAACTGTCTCTTGATGAATCTTTTTATAATTCTGATAAAAGCATAATAAGGCATTGTGCCCCAGATACCTTTGATTAAGAGAGGATACAAGAATGCATTGTTTTCATTTTGCAGCACTATAATAAGTTAATGGTTTAAAATAAATTATAACATGCAATTGCAGAAGATTTTGTTTTACTCGTAATTCTCTCACAAATATATGTAATGCACAGATGACATGGAATTTCTGTCTCTTTCTGATCCTGAGGGAGCTAATATACAATGGTTGCCATGATTTGGGAGCAGACTTATCTTTTCAGAAAATGTGTCTTGTGTTTAAAGAAATCACCGTGGAGTATGTTCAAAAATAAAGCTTTCACTCCCAGTGCAAAGAAACACAAGCATTTTAACCTTGGACCAGTTTGGAAGTGTTGACTTAAATAAGAAGGTTATATAAAATGTCTGAATACTACATTTTTCTACAAGGGAAAAAAGATGCTTTGGTATACTTTGCCTTGCAGTCTGTGATACCCAAATCACATAGCAATGAATATGTAAATGCAAAGCTCAAAATAAACAATAGGAAAAAAATTAGTTTTGCCATTGTAATAGGGACAAAAAGCCATCAAATACATAATGTAAACAGCAACACTGCAACTGAATTTCCCACTGCCATAGTTTAAAAAAACTATTTTGAGGTGTTACTGTTGTAATCCATCAGATAATCCAGGCACTGTAAGTATTTAGTATCACCAAAATGTCAAACCATTGTTTTCATTCCTGTTTTTAAACAGGAATTGTTTTCATTCCTTTCTGCCTTTAAATTGTATTTATATTCCAGTCTTGAACGTTTCCTCTAGGATGGAACTTTACTGTCAAGTTATGCTCAGAAACAATTGTATTACTAATCATGTGTGGAAAAAACAATTTAAAAAAATCTTTTTCATGGTGTTATATCCCATTCTGTACTGACAAAGAATTAAATTATTTCAGATATTGTTTTCATTTTTCTTTTATTTCCTTAACTTACATTCAAAATGTTCTTCATTATTCTTTCTCTTTATAACATAATTATCTTCTACAAATTAAATGATACGGTACCAATTATCATCTAGTTGGGTTTATACACTCATGCAGCTTCATCCCATTCCCTTTCAAGTAAATGACAATGCTTTCTTCAACATGAACTTCTCTTTTAGAAATGCCCTCATATTAAGGCTAGAGAATTCTTGAGGCATGCTGAATGCTTTTAGCTACTTTTGGGCATACAAAAAGTGACATTCTTCAGCCCTTTTTCAAGTGCAGACAACAAATTACTGAAATCTATCAATTATATATTCTTATGTCTTTCAATATTAAAATCAATTTTAAAATTTCCTACTTTCAGTAGGCAGAGTCCCAAATAACAATTTTTTAAAACTTTTATTAGGGCTCCAGTTCTTGGCTGTCCTAAATTGCTTTTTTTAAGAGAAGAGGAACTTTTCCTGGCTTGATGTTTTTGCCTTCTTGCAAATTTTTCTGCAAGATGAATTTTCCCTCCCATGAGGGACCCTCAAAGTATGCACAAATAAATCACACATTTGCAAGTGGTTTTGTGTATTTGTAGCTAAAAGAGCATGTGTATGTATACTATATATCTGTATATACACATTATGCAAAAATTTCCTAAGGTGAACCCACAATTTTAATGACATTTTAAAACACAGATTTTGTATTTTCTTTTTCCTTCATATTCTTTCTACTCTGCTGAACGTGCTTTCTGTGATGGCTGTCTTCAAGACAAGTGTAAAATTTTGTTTTCTAACCATTTCTCACATGAGGGCAGACTATATTCAGAGGTGACAGGTGGTGCCTTTATCAGAACGAAGATCCTTTGCCTCATTATTTCCTTTTCAAGCTAGTATTCATAGCTGGGGGTGGCTACATTTTTCACAAAGAGTTCTGGTTATTCTTTTACTTATTACAAAGCAGGAAGGATCTTCTCCGTTATCAGTGTTTGCTCATAACTGCTTGCCTTCCATTGAACCTTCAAGGTTAATTCACTAAATCAAAAGGCAGGTCCTGAAAGTTAGTGTTGATGTATGTCAAAAAACTGGGCTTCGCTGCATTGGGTATTTTTTTTCCATAGAACAGTTGTGATGTAATTTATTTTCAATATAATGCACCAGACAAGAGTCTTGAGAGGGAGGAAATTATTTTTATGCCAGCTTGTGGGGAAGAGGTTATGATCAAAGAAGACAAAATGTGAGACAGCTGGAGTTTACACTGTGTCCTATTTTAATTAGTACTTCATGACTGGAGTTTAATATTTTGTGTATTGTGGTATTAACTTTCCTTCCTCAGGATAAGCAGGATGAGTAGAAAAATAACATGCCTTCATTACGCGACTTTCAAGATGTCATGGAAAAATATTCCATGATGAAAGTTCTGTGTTCCTGTGTAACACAAGTGTTAATTCTATTAAAGAAACAAGCAAAAGTCAGGACTAAAAATCACTTACAAAATTTTGTGTATGCTTGTTTTCAGTGCAAGTTCTGTTCTCCCTCAGAAATCTTTCCTAGTGATTTGTCTGGTGTTGTTGTCCTAGGGATAGGACTTAGGAATCTCAGATCATCTCCAGGATACATCACTTACTTGAAAACATTAATTGCGTTTAAAATCTATCCAAAGTCTCATTTGCCTCCATGGCAGAGAAGCATGGGCCATGTTGTCTGCCCTTAACCAGAGCTGCCAGTTTGGGCTAAATGGCCATTTGCAGGGAGTGGTTAAACAAAACACCTTTTTTTTTTCATTTCCTTGCCTAGTCCCTTCCTGCAAAATACCACGGTAATGTTACTTCTTTTTCGGCTTTTTATTGGGCAGCTGGTCAATCCTGAGTTTCTTACTGCTTTTAATTTTTCAGTGCTCACTCTTTCATACTGGTTGACATACAGGCATTTTTCCTCTGTGTCATTTGTATGAAGTGAACATTGTGATCTGCAGCCCAGCTGCTGTGTGTGAGACCCTGAAATGACACATTTCCTGTCTAAGAAACTGACAAGAATAAAAGACTCCTGCAACATTGCAGTGCGAATTTACTCTGATTTACTTGATCACTAGAATGCTTTAATTTGAGTGGTTCTAAAACCTTATCACAGCAGCATTCATAGGATCAGACATCCATGGTGTTCTACTGCCTTTCCATTTTATGCATGCTCCATCTGACACTTCTTTTTGTTCTCTTTCCCATTCATGCAGTCACCTAATGCTGGCGACAAGGATGACCAAACACTAACGGTAGGCAGCAATTAGTATGTGTCTGAGCATTTATTTCTCAGGATGATGGTGAGACAAGCCTTACTTTGGTTTGGCACACATCAGCATTTTTGTAAATTGCTGTGATTTCTTTCCCTTCCTATAGTGCTATAGAATTTAAAAAAATATTTCCAAAGATATAATGGTGAATTTTTTTTTTTTTTTTGTGTGCAGTTTCTATAATCTTTCGGTTAGTATTTATATGAAACCAAAGATTAATGCATGTACCATGTATTATTGCAAAACCCCCTTTTTCTTCAGGGTTGTTTTTTCCTTATAATAGGATTTTAGGTTCTTATATGTCACCAGTCTGTTAGCTGTGATTATCCTTTTTTATCAAGACAAGCAGCCAGACATCCAAAAAGCCATCTTACTCTATGGGATGTATTAAATGCATTGATTATTGTACTAGACAATGACATGGGGAAAAGAACCTCATAATATCTTTTAAATTTCTTTAAAACCACATAAAAGATGCTTGTACGTTAGCTCCATTGCTGTAGGAATCTGTGCTGCCTTACCACACTTACAGTCTTGTTTCTGCAATCAGTGCTTAATGGATTGGAGCAGTCAGGAGTATATTTCACTCTGAGCTTTAGGATTTTGCCATTAAGAAAAGGTACTCTCTGCCTTTTTTTCCATAGTTTCAATAATATGCATGTTTTCCATGTACTGAGGTAATAAAAATTAAATTATTTTAGGGATTCAACCACAAGGTTCTACAAAGAAGCAAACTATGAATTCTTCCTGATGCAAGTATAAGGTTTTTATTTTCTTAACATTTTAAGGGTTTTCACAGAGAAGGATTCTTTTTTCCCTTGTTCTTTTCCTAAATCACGAGAGACTAATTACTAATATGATGATCCATCCCCTCCAGAGATACATTCTATACAGATGTCAATGTTTAGTGCAGTGTATTGTTCAATATAATCTGCTACAGGTGATGGTTGAAAATGCTTCACTGTGTAGTGAGATGTGAGATGATTTAATAGTGTTTTAGACCTGTTTCCACACAAACAGCAAAAAGCCCTAAATTCTTTACCTTATTTTTCCGCCTACACCTAGACCAAGCCACGGCTCCAGCGGGGAGGAAGCTCTGCATCTCTCCACAACAGTCTAATGAGGAACAGCATCTTCCAGCTCATGATACACACACTCGACCCTCTTGCTGAAGGTATTCCTATCAGGTTTTTTTTTTGTTTTCTGTTGCAAAAGCAAACAAATCCTTTCCTTTTCCCTTCTCTCCATTAAACTGTTTTTTGCATTTCTGTTGTTTTCACCATTTTTTCCTGAATGTGTCTTGAATTTTTGAGATTATGGCATAGTACACATACTCCCACCAAGACTTACAACTTAGGAAACGTGTTCATTGTGGTGCTAACTAAAATGGATCACTTGGTTGATGAGTATCATAGCTACTGTTTCACTTCATCCCTGGCTTCAACAGCAATTTAAAAGTTAAAAAAATTCTATCCTCTTGTACTTTTGTGAAGGCCTTTTTTGTTTTCTTTCCTGGTTTTGATTTTAGTACCTTAGGAAAAGAAAAGCTGAAATGATGGATAATTTGTCATATGGAATATAGAAAAGAATGAGACTCTGCTGTTTTGATGAGGTGTGGTTTAACACTGACATTAGGAAAAATGCAACAAACAACCCCCTGTGTTACATGCATATTAACAGTTTGCTTGCTCTAGCCAAATGTGGTATACTTTTTTATTTTTCTTTGAGAAATTAACAGGGAGACCATGATCGGTTTGTCTGAGAAGTTGCTGGGAAAACTGTAATCGCTTTGCAACTGTGGGGTGACAAGAATCTCAGCTTCTGGTAGACTTAAAAAAAAAAATCAAATTCAAGAAAAGTTACTTGTTGAATTTGTGTCTGTAGGACTTCTCTTGCAGGAGTAATAAATGTCTTAAGAAATAGCATTGGGGAACCAATTATGAGGGACTAAAAAGACCTTTATTGTGAGGGACTAATGAGAAATTACTGACAGTGATCCCTTCTGAACTTCAGTGATCAAAAAGTATATAGCACTTCCTTGCATTTAAGATCCTGTATGTTTCTTATTGCAAAATTGCATACAGCTTTTTAAATTGCTCTGTATCTCTTGGACAAGACAAACTTACTTTTCCACTTCTGTCTTCCAAAGCTGAAGTTGATACTCACTTTGTCAACACAACAGCAATTTTAGCCCTTGCAGACTCCACACCATTATTTCTACTCTGATCACGATTCACATTGCCTCTGTCTTTGGTTAATGCTACACTATTCACTGCCAAAGTCTGTTGCCTGTTAGAGTGCAATCATCAGCAGACTATGCCCAATCTATTCCCATTCATTGCTGAAAGAGGACATAAGACATTTACCGAAGTTATATGTTTGGCTTCCTGAAAATCAGACAGACCGTGAAAGCGGGGCCTTGCGATCATTCTGGCTTTTTGGGTTTTAAGCAGGAGGTGTCAAAAAAGTTATCATAGGGATAACTGATGATGTTGCTTTTTGATCCTTTGATGTTGGCTCTTCCTATCATTGTGAAGCAGAATTCACCAAGCGTTGCATTGTTCACCCACTAATAGGGAACTTGTGATAGGAGTAGACCGTCCTGAGACAGGTTAGTTTTACCCTACTGATGATGTGTTGTTGCAATAGTAATCCTGCTTATTCGTGCTCAGTACGAGGGGAACCGCAGGTCCAGACCCCTGGCGCGTGCGCTTGGCTGAGGAGCCACTGGCGTGAGGCTACCACCTGTGGGCTTATGACTGAACGCCTCTAAGAACCCACCTAGACGCTTGTTGTGCTGTTGCGTGATCGGTCGCTTGTGACTGACCCAGGAGATGACAGTCTTGTTCAGAATGCATGGGTGAAGGTCTTCCCAAATCTTCTTTAGCGAAGACAGGCCTTCTTCACAGGAGAAGGAAAACTCCTACCTTCACACCCGGGCTGATGGAGCTCATCTGGCCTTGTATGGTCTTCCATCAAAGAGAAGGTCACTCTTACAAAACCTATGACCTGAGGACTTTGCTGTCACCATCCTAGCTCGCTAGGCTGTGGCAGTTAAACCTCAGGTGTAAAGGGTGGGGCCAGGTCTGCACAAGCTGCGCCTCACCTAAAAAATCCACTGTGCAGGCTGGAAGGGCTCACTCTCACTCTCACTTGTCTGTATGGACGGGCGAGGGTCTAAACGGCAGGCGACAAGGTGCATGGGACACTGCAGATCCAACCTTGCATGTGGGCGGACCAGCCCATGGGTAGCTCGAGTTAGCTCAGGAGTTGACAGTCCTGGTCGGACACTCCCTGATTGCCTAAGCACCCTTTTTTCCAATCAGATTTTCCTATCCCACATGCCCTTGGTCATTGTGCTTGCAGTAAGCATGGTTAAAGCCCTTCCCAAATCTTTGCTTGCGAAGCCAAGCCATCATCATCATCATATTTGGCTTCCTTCTCTAGAGTAGGTGAGCAGACTTTCTAACTGCTGTACCCAGTAAACTTCGTCCTCATCTGTCTGGTGGCCAAGCATTTCACTTCCAATCCCAATTTTTCACTTTTTAATGGAAAATTGTAATTTTTCATTACAATCCTTTGCAGTCCTATTTTCCCTTAAAGCAAGTTCCTTTGCTGCGAATGCCTCTGTGATGTCTAGATTTTGCTAACGCAAACAAAAATAACAATCATCCAAAGCAGTAAATAGGCTTGGTCAAAATAAGAGAGAACAGAAACAGGTTGGGAAGAGCTCATTAGCAGGGTCAGGACTGTTTTGCCACATTGAAGACCACATGAAAGCTGAAAATGTTGATTGGGGTTCAATTTGGACTTAAGAAAAATTCAGAAATAGGATAGGTCTCAGGTATTTTTCCACTGCTCAAGCTTACTTCACTTCTTACCTAAACATAACTTGTTCAGCATTCAGATCTTTTCTCACGACTTTTCACCTGTAGCAAGCTTGCACCATATTCTGTGATTCATAGGCTTTCCCCTTCACAACAGCACAGGAAGAAAGGGTTTTGAAATCTGAAATCCATCTCAGGAGACACAGAAGCCCAGCACTTTTGAAAACTAGGTATTATAATTAAGTTTACCAGGTAACTCAGTGGTGTTCATTATTTTTTACTTGATTCATTATTGTTCATTATTATTGACTTGAGTCAATATGTATTGATAGAGATGGTTGTAATGGATAAATCTTACTTAAATTACTCCACACGAAAATTTTCTTCAGGGTTTCTTTGCTCATAGTACTTTGCTGTTTGGTTTTTTTCTCTCCAAACTCATATAGTTGCCTGGAATTAATACTCTTCAAAAAATGGAAGATAAAAGTCTTGCGGTCTTTAAATAAGGTGCAAAGCAGTAACAACCTATATGTTTCATTAAAACTGACACACTGAGTTAAAAAAGGGAAAAAAATGAATCTACTTACATTTGCAGTAAATACTGTATTTTAAAGCACAACTTTTCATGAAGAAATGGCTAAGAGACACAGGAAAATACCCTATGTATCTGCAGACATCGAAGTTAGCGTTAATATAAAAGGACCTAATATTTCAAATTTCCACCAACTTCATAAAATTCATATTCTAATTAATGAGAGCATGAAAGTGCCAATATGGGAGTGCATTCAATATATATTTTTCTATGTGGAACTCCAGTTTTATTTTTTTTACGGATATGCCCATATATGTAGGAGAAATGTGAAAAAAAAAATAATCTGCCCACTTTTCTGTCGCATATTATGGTCATTAACCTTTTTTGAACCACCTGCTCATTTGTAGGCAGATTTGCCTTTCTTTTGAACTGCAGGCAGTTTGGAAAGCAGACACAGGGAGTATTGAAAATCTGTACTGAATTCACTGAATCCACTCATTTTTTTGCTGATATTTTGAGCTTTTAAGTGTCTGCATTCATTATTCTGTATTAAGATAATTCTGCAAGCCTCCATAAAAGAAAATTTATTTTAGTTTGATGTAAATACTGTGGCTGGCCAAGGTAGGTAATACTGGTTAACAAATTTAGGTGGCAGGGTACTTGAATGTTACTGTCAATTAAAAAATATGGTTGATAATAGATATGGGTATCTGCTATAGAATATTCATTATCTGTGTGGCTCTGTATAAATTTTATCTACTAAATTCTCACCATTTTTTGTGTTTTAATCTTCCTGCATACATTTAACATCAAATAATAATCTGGTGCATCATGTTTACTTTGACACACCTTTACCATGCCTGCTAAATAATTTCTAAGCTGATAGGATTTCACTGTTAAGAATTAAAAGAAGGGGTTGAAGAGGTTAAGAGTATATGAGAATATTACAAAGTACCATTCTCAAAGGAAAAAATTTTGAAAGGTGTATATCAAAGCTGACGCATACATAGGTATTCTGGTACACATTGCACTTTGGCGTACTTCTTGTCCTCCTCCTCCCGTTTCCTCTTTCCCCATTTTGCTACCATTTACTCCCTTTGCCTTACCTCATGCTGCATCTCACTTACCTGCACCCAGATTCTTCCAGCTTCTTCCCTTAAGATGGCTTCCTTAGAGCTTGCTCTCCTTCTGGGCTGCTGGGTCCATCAGTCAAAGCACTTGCCAAGCAGATGCCAGCAGCCCTGCAGCTGACATAGCCAACCAAACTGGTTTTTCAGTCTTTGGAAAAGCACTTGTAAAGTCTGGGAGCTCTGTGCTTGTCTCTTCATGGCTTCCAGATCAAATATTGCCATTAGAAGTAAAATTACTAGCTGTTGCACTGCTACTGGAAGATTCAGCTTTTCTTTTTATGTCAGGAATAAGGTTCACAGATACGTTCATAGAATTATAGTGTTATAGAATGATTTGGTTGGAAAAAACCTTAAAGATCATCTCGTCAAAACCCAGCTGTGGGCAGAGACACCTTTCACTTGACCAGGTTGCTCAAAGCCCCATCCAACTTGGCCTTGATCACTTCCAGGGGTTCTCTTGAATGTTTTCAAGGAATTATTCCCTTGAATAATTGCAAGAAAAATATGGGGCATGTAAAGGCACACTTCTCTGTCGATCAGAGTTCTGTGAGCTTTGAAAGACTGACAGAAAAGAAGTCCCTTCTAAGTCCTCTTGATAGCATAAGCAGTGTAGACTGCATGAACAGGCTGTGTGACCATTAAAGGTCACCTATAGAATAGTATTGTTACATTAACGTGCAGTGTA